AAATACAACTCCCCTATTGGGGATTCCCCAACAGCGCCAACTGTTACTACCACACTTCCGGAAATAGGGTAGTTTTTGCCGTTTCTTTCTAATGAACAGATTCAACTGAAAACTCGATTCTAAGGGTAATGCAACCCTCCTAACAACTTCCCCCGAAGCTAGGTGATTCAGGGTTTTGGTGCCGCGCCACGGGCGTAGCGCCAAATACTCCGAGTGACCGAACTCGTTAAAAACTTGTCCCCAGGGGTAGTTTGACCTCCTGAACACGAATATCACATCCGCTTAACCTGATACTGGAAAGAGGCGCTTTCGCTGAGATACCCTAGATCACCAAATCAGCTGAAAAGTCGTATACATGGCGTCCTGATTACGAATATGGCATTCAATCTAGCTGGTGGTCGTGGAGGACAATACAATCATCTGCGCTTTGCTAAGGCTGAGCCTGGCCGAAGGAGACCACTCCTCCCCGGCTCCGAATTGGCAGAGCACCAAATGACGCTGGTATCGGAAAGTGATCGCTATTTTCGATATTAGAGCATTAAGGAACCCTCTATGCAAGTTTTTCGATTGTAATGAGGAACGGTGCAGCGCCAAATTGGCGCCTAATGGCTAGTGGCGCCAAATGGCGCCAGGACTGGAAGTGAGTCATTTCGTGATGAGGGCACCGATCAACCCCTGTATGTAAGAGAAGAGATAGTGCTAAATTGGCGTCAGTCAAAAACAAATGTTGACAGGACATCGAATTACCCTTCAGGGTACAGTTTCACCAAAAAAATTTTGAGTTTTTGGAATAGTAATAGTTGAATAATGCCAAACATTTTTATGTTATTTCCTTCTCCACAGTTTTGCGGCAGCCTGATCCTCTGCACTATAAGGGTTTTCTTTCCATTATATTGATTGTAACGAATCTGTTTTTTTTGGGAAGTAGTTCAGGACATTCGAGTCGTGGCGAGAGCAGTGAAGGGAGTGTTTGCATCAAGAAGGCGGCATTTATACGAGGACCCATTTCACTTTGCATGATATTTATTCGAGTTGTTCCTATGATTGTGATGTGTCGGCTTTCACTAAGCTTCCAATTTCACTAATTCCTTTGTCGGCCGTTTTCGTTTCCTTTCCGTGGCCACTTCTTTGCCTCTTTTTTCAACATCGTAGTAATCGTTAATTGCATCTCAACGGCGCTCCTTCATTCCATGAACGTCGTTAGCAAGCTGTCCTTCAGGGGAATGTGTGAACAGAGGAGGGCCCGGAAAACTGTGGTTTCGGAGGAGGTCGTCTTCACAGCAGCTTTAGTAGTCCCACGCAAACTTTCAGGAGTGTGAAACGTTTTGATTCTTCCTTTTGTTCGTGGGATGAATCCTCTTTCTATCGCGCGAGTGGTGCCTTTAATTTCGTTTTGATACTCTAACTTTTCCAGAAATGTTGTTTTAGGAAATTCACTTATGCAGTCGATGAGAGAAAACCCTGCGTTTTTCTGCAAAAGGTTTCGCATGGCTCCTTCATAACCCTGCAGCTACAATCTGGCCAGCACACACATTCAACTTATCGTAGGAACCAACGAACTAACAAAATTTAATACATTATTTTTCGCCTTCATTATCCTTTTGACCTTAACTTCTTAAAGTACCGCCATTCCAGCCAAGATCAAGGTACCATCTACTTGGTTATTACCACACTGTGTAGATCACCGCTATTAAAATAAGCAAAAATCCATCTCTCTTCACGCTGCGTACTATTTTGCGCGCCGGATAGCAAACCAAATTAGAAGGCGGTGTAGGATGTAAGGAGAATACCGGCTTTTTCGGGACGAGTCCGATGAAGCGCTAGTGCGAGAGGGATGATATTCTGATCTGCTCGCGAGCGCTACACTCGTGCTAACCATCTCATCGGTGCACAGGGTGATTGATGGAAATTGGCACGTTTCCTGTTTGTTTCGTCGCTCTTTGTAATGTGCCCTATTCTTTTTGTGATCGAAGTGTCGCCAAAGTTTAAAAAATCTAGTCAATTTATTTGAAACAATAGGGAGCGGGACCCTGTTTATTCGCGTCATCTCTCTGTATACTGGAGTAGACGAATGATGAGCTGTTTGCTGAAACTTTTCATTTCGGGAGCGTGGAGAGACCTGGAAAGACTGTTGTCCTTTTGTAGCTGTCTCACTGAAAACGAACTATGGCTTTCGGTTCAATGGTGGTCGTGCACCGTCCCCTACGCTATCGGTGAAGTATCAGTCCCTATCCCAAACCTTCTGCTGTTTATCCCACTCATTGTTCGTTCAAGCACAGAAGCCGCTCGTGCAAAAACTGCTGTTAATAGTGGATAGCACTGTTAACAGCAGATTGATGAGGAGGACGTACCTCAAGCAACGTCCTCCTCATCAGTCGTAGCCTTTGGGCGAAATTGCTTCCCACCGATGTGAGAGTGTGTCATTGCCGAAAAACGACCAATTTTTTTATCAAAGTGACTCGTCGCATTAAACTACTGCATCAAAAGCTGCGGCACCACTGACTACAGCCACAAGAAAGGCGGTTTTGTCACCCGTCGATGGCAATGACTGTCAGCAAACGGAAGGCATCATCTCAAAGCGACGGCTTCACAGCTGCTTTCTTGCTAATCGCAGTCTTAATCTTTCCTCATTTGAGAAATATTCTGGATAGGTTTGGATGGGTGAATGGCAACTCGCACACGGAGTTTTTATGTTTCGGACGACAATAACTTTTTTCGTGCTCGATCTTTTGCAAAACTAGAATCAACTTTATGAAGCACAATAACTTGCTTTTAACTTTCTTTTCCGAAAATAGCTACAGTTTTTCTGGAGACTTGCCAATTTAGACGATATTTTAGGTGGGTTAGTGATGTGTGGATTTCTGACCATTCGAAAGCCAGACCCTTGAATACTCGGTCGGAAACCCTGATGCAAGCAGATATTGGCACTATTCAACTATTACTACCTCAATTTTCCGAAAACAGGCCGGTTTTTGATCGACTTTTTCCAACGAGGGCATATTTGGCTGAACGTGGGCTCTAAGGGTACACAAAAATCACATCCGCTTAGGCTCGAAACTTGCCTGGCGTGCCCCGCACCAACAGGGCGTTGGGCCAGTAGCGCCTAGGTCACTAAATTCGCTGAAAACTTATATACGGAGATTATTTGACATCTTGATTACAAATATCACATTCATTTTCCGGCGCTGGCGGTGATGGAAGACATTAAGATCATCTGCGCTGTGCTAAGGCTGTGCCTGCCTTGAAGGGAATCATCCTCCTTACAAGAGAAGGATGGTAGGTCGAAGTGGCCATCTGAAGTAAAATGTATGCCTACTGAAAGTCTTCCGGACGGGAAATCACGGAACCGTCTCTCAGACCTACTTGCGGACTTGTGGAGCTTTTTAGGGAGAGACTATGCCCATTCAGTACGGACTGGCGGCGCAAGGCCGACACTTTAGTAGCAGCGTGGCCGAATGGATACGTCGTAGGGATCGCGAATAGGTGGTCGAGGGTTAGGATCCTTGATGCATGCGCTATTTTGCATTTTTATTTCGAACGAAAGTGGTCTCTGATGTAGTTCGGCTAAAGCTATTTTTCATAACTCTTGTTCCTTATAATGTCGAGACGTAGTGTTTCTAAACTGATGGAGCGATTGCGAACGATTTCATAGAAATCACTTCTGGCTGAAGAGATTGTCATACGAGCCGAAAACTTCCAGCAGGTGCGAAGCCACTTTGGAGACAAACATCATTCAACACTATGTGAGTG